GCATTCGGCTCAAAATATTTATATGCATCAAAATAGAGTCATAAAACCGAGTTATGCGGTAAACAAGTATAAACATGACTAAGTATATATTTTCAATCGAAAATAATGAGAGGATGGTAAGAAACAGCCCCTAAGGGTCCAAACAGCTTTGGCGCAAGGCCCAAACATGACATTCAACCCAATTTACATAAATTCTTTCTAGAACATATAAGTATCAAATGGTTACAAAAAAGTATGCAACTTTACAGTTGCTACAGGACGGACCAAGTCACAAATCCCCAAAAGTGCACGCCCACACGTCCGTCACCTAGCATGTGCGTCACTTCAAAATAGTAGAATGATACAAAATCCGGGGTTTTATACCCTCAGGACTAGATTTACAATCGTTACTTACCTCAAACCGGTCAAATCTCTAACCCGCAATGCTCTTGCCTCTAGACTCGGCCTCCAAATGCTCCGAATCTATTCACAATCAATACAATACCATCAATACGCGCTAATGGAATGAATTCCCCAAGAAAAACTATAAAATTAGACCAAAACCCGAAATTGGTTCAAACCCGCCCTCGGGCCCACGTCTCGAAATGCGACAAAATTTATAAAACTAGAACGCTAATTCACTCACGAGTCTAACCATACCAAATTCATCAAAATCCGACATCGTTTAGTTCCTCAAATCCTTAAATTATATTCCAAAAATTCCAAGCCCTAACCCCTTATTTTCACTAATTACCATGATTAAAACAACAGGAAATCACCATATATACAAGTATTAGGGCTCAAGTAACTTACCTCAACTAAATCCCCTTGATTCCCTCTTCAAATCTCTCCCAAAAGCTCCAAAGACCGAGTTGAAATTCTGAAGAATGACCAAAATTCGTGAAGGGTTCTATTTATGGTTTCTGCCCAGGTTTTTCGCACCTGTGGCCATTTTCTCGCACCCGCGCGACCGCACCTGCCGTCCAAGAAGCTTCTCTTGTGCAACTCACTTAATCACCCAGCTTCCGCACCTGCAGACTCCTTCCTCGCACCTGCGGACTCGCATCTACGGTCCCAGGTGCACATCTGCGAAACCAGTCCAAACTTCTCATCTCCGCATCTGCTCTCAAGGCCTCGCACCTGCGGGCTCGCAGATGCGGCCAATTCTTCGCACTTGCGTTCCCAGCCTTGGCCCAGCATCTACCGCACCTGCGCACTCCCCACTCGCACCAGCGTCCTCGCACCTGCTACCCTTTCTTCCGCATGTGCGGAAATAGCAGAAGCAGCAACTCCAGCTGCAATTTCCAACTTTAACAAATCCGTTAACCACCCGGAATCACCCCGAGGCCCTCGGGACCTCAACCAAAAATACCAACAAGTCATATATCAACATACAAACTTAGTCGAAACTTCGAGTCACTCAAAACAACATCCAAATACCAAATTACCCTCGGATTCAAGCCTAAGAACTTCTAAATTTCCAAATTCGGCAACCGATGCCAAAACCAACCAAACCACATCCGAATGACCTCAAATTCCGCACACACGGCACAAATGACACTACGAACCTACTCCAACTTTCAGAATTCTATTTTGACCCCGATATCAAAATTTCCACTGCCGACCGAAATCGCCAAATTTCTAATTTTGCCAATTCAAGCCTAATTCTACCACGGACCTCTAAATCATATTCCGGACGCACTCCTAAGTCCAAAATCACCTAACGGAGCTAACTGAATCATCAGAATTCAAATCCGAGATCGTTTACACATAGGTCAACATCCGATTAACTTTTCCAATTTAAGTTTCTACTTAAGAGACTAAGTGTCTCAATTCATTTTGAAACCACTCCGGCCCCTAACCAACTAACCCGATATAACATAATATAGCTGAATAACACAAAAAGAGTAGTAGAAATGGGAAAAACGAGGTTATAACTCTCAAAACGACTGGCCGGGTCGTTACAGATATACTCCAGGGAAAAAATTCATTGGAAATATATTTGTATTATGAGAGTTATACCCATTCAAAGTCAACTGTTATGCAAATGTGGGCATTTATTCCACTTAGTATTTCCAACTCGTTCCAAACAACTTCTTCCCACTTACAAACCTCCTTAATATGTTCCAAAACACTCTCCATATGTATTTTCAAGTCAAAATAATATGGTTCTATCCCATAAGTATCCTTTAATACTCGAATATGTTATTCCCAAATATCTTACAAGTATAAACACTTAAGAACCCTTCCACGTGTGTAGTAATCGATTCCTCAGGCGATGGGACTACCACGTTCTTGTCGCCCCAGTTGTATTCCTGTTTTACTTTGTCGAGAATTTTCTAGGTGATTGAACACTGGTACCTCGAGATCGGTTCACATCGGCCCGATACTGAAGAAGGTTTTTCAAGCTCAAAATCGATGATAGTTGAGCACCCTACCGGAACGAACTCCTCGAGCCGAGGCTCCGCCGCATCCTCACCGCTGGCAGGTCGTGATGAAGAAGCGACCTCTTTTTGTGGCACTGTTTTGGAGGTTTTCGCCATTGATGAATAAAGGAAAAGAGAATTAGGGTTGTATGCGATGTAAAGTGTATGAAGTATGAGTGATTTTCTGAAGAAGATGCAAGAATAGAGAAGAAGCTTTTGAGTGAAAAGTTTGGATGGGGATGAGAGTTTGAATATATTATAGCCTGGTGATGACGGTTCAGAACCGGTAGTGGCTTACTAACGACTGACAAATATTTAATGCCTTAGTAACTGGATCGACGAGACATTTGTAACATACGTCATAATCGGGCTCGTCGCTGACATCATCATCCACCAAGTCGAAGTTCGAAAATTCATATCGTTTCTCGTCATCTTCTTTCCGAGAAACAAGGGAACTATCTGTATACAGTCAAAACCGAGTCTGCCTTTCTTATGACTAATCGAGATTGGAACATGATGGTCCAAGGTTCATCATTGTAATATTGAGCCATGATGCGAAGTTAGGTTGTCAAGCTCGAGCCCAGAGACCGATCAATATCGAGATTGACCAAGATCGAGCTTGAAACCCAGAGACCGATCAATACCGAGACCGGCCAAGATCGAGATCGAGCCAAGAGACCGATCAATATCGAGATCGGCCAAGATCGAGCTCGAGACCCAGAAACCGATCAAGATTAAGATTTGCCAATATCGAGATCGAGCCAAGAAACAAAAAAACCGTTATAGCCGCAATTGGGAGGGGGGGAGAATCTCGGCAGAATTCACAACTTGAATCAAGGAAAAGCTAATTAATTAATCTACCATGAGATCCCCACTATATATTTTTAATTATATCCAAAATAAAATTCCCCACTATATTAAGAGTTGTTATCATTTGTAGAGGGGCAAATTCATTTTGAGATATACAGAAAAGAGAGCAAATACTATCCTTTTTTGACTTTTGATATTTAGTCATATTGTTTCTTCTACCAATCATTCTTCACTCAATTTGGAGGTGATAAAACTTGAATGCCTAGGCTAACTAGTTCATTAGGTTTGCATTCATTTCTTTTATAACTAATTTCGATATTCATTTACATATCTTTCCCAATTTGTATCAATTTATATCACGTATCCTTAGAACTACGTATAAATTCAACTCCATTCGTTTTTCGGGTAAACACTCATTTTAGGGAAAATGCACTCTCTACCGAGGCAATTTCATACTTACAGTTAGAATGCGAAACCTCTTATTGGAGAATTATGATTTCATACTTATAGCTAGAACATGAAACCTCTTGTAGGAGAAAGGTGATTTCATACTTATAGCTCGAATTCTTTGGTTGGAGAAGTACTTACAACATATGCCACCAGGGGCGGAGCTAGAACGCGACCTACGGGTTCGGCCGAACCCGACAGTTTTTGTCCAAATCATGTATTTGTTTTAAGAAATTTATCGAATATGTATAACTTATTAATATTTTAGAACCCAGTAACTTAAACATATTAGATTTTCAAACTCATAAATTTCAAATCATGGCTCCGCCTCTGTATACCACAGTATATTTTTGATTAAAAATTGGGGTGCCCCTCGTTCACAGGTACTGGTATCCAGTAGACTAAAAACAGTACAATGTGAGAGAGTCCACGACATAATATATAAGTCTGTCCAATAAGAGATAAATGTAATCAAGTACTTGTATAAAAGCACCATATGAGCAAGGTCCGTGCAGTCCCATATGTCACTTTCCTACCCGTTTAAGGGTCCATCTCTCCCGTGTTATGGTAGTACAAGCATCCTATGAAGTAGTAATATTTTACTTAACTCACTAAGTGGTAAATAGTAGTAGTAATATTAGGGTCGAAAGTTGAGGGATAGTCGTGAATTTCTTCTCTTCTAAGCTTAGGAGTAATACTAGTATTTTTGTATTTTTTTTTATTCCTGGTTTGTTATTTTATATGTTGTGTTATCCGCTTCTTCTATCATATTACCTTGTTGTTGCAATTGTTTGGTGCTTTATTTTCATTGTTCTTTGAGGCGAGGATCTACCGCAAATAACCTCTCTACCTGCATAAGGTAGGAATACGATCTACATACACATTATCTTCTCCAAACCCCACTGATAAAATTGTTGTTGTTGTTATTGTATTAAGATGGTAAATTGCTCATTACTAAAGGATTTTAGTGTTCGAATTCGACATATCTGATTAGGATGGAAGAATCTCAATCATTCCATCAAGAGACCGGTCCAATATTTGAGCTTAATGGATTCAACTTTAAGGTTCTTCATATAACTCATTATACTTCTAATATTATGTGTACAGATTTAATATTTGTTGAAATTTAATTTTTACATTATGTATCAATATTCTAGTGGTCTAAAGAACAATAATCTGTTGAGCAATGGAATCTTCCTTGTTGCTTTTTCTTTTTTCTCCTCATCCATTCCTTGAAAAATTGACTTTGGATAAAATAGCATAAGCTATGTGAAAGAGCATGGCCTTTTACAAGTAAAGATATATAGAGACAACAATTGGGTATCTTTGGAGAGATTATGAACGATAATATGGAATATTGTTGATAACTTGATATAGATAGGGAGTTACGAGCCAGAATTTTTACTAAGAGAATTAAAATATAAATTATAAGAGATCGTTTGCTTTGGAATTATCTAATCTATCGATCTATCAAGATCCAAGCAAACAATCAAAGAAAAAGATAAAAAATTTAGAAGATTAATTAGCATATTTCTATCTAATCAGCAAGAGATCGTATTCCCAAAATCTCTACAGCCCTCCATCTAATTACTTTGTATAATTAGCTACATTATACTAAGTAATATATTATCATTACTTAAAGTTATCTACTAGTAAGTCACGAGATAATATTTAAAAGGAATCTCTTCTATCTTTGTGCTTCAAATCTCTGTTCCTTCCCATGTTCCTTTTCAGAACTCCTGCACATTCAACAATGCAGTAATATTCAGTCAGCAGCACCCAAAAGTGAAGAATAACAAAGTGACTAGCCGAAAAATCAGCTCAGAAATATACCGTATCCACCCAAGATCCGAAAAAGAGCATATCCAGTAACACCACTTCGCCAGAAAAAATACACTATTTAGATAGGTAAAAAATATTTTTTAATATACATATACTATGTATTGAAACCCCTTGACTTATTCGTATATTTATTTCTTTAAATTTTTGTCACTCATTAGTGAAAATTCTGGCTCCACGACCGACCAAATCTCAAAGGGGTGTGAGGTAGACAACACACTTTAATGCAAGTATCATTGACTATTTCACGTCAAACCCTAACCTATATATATATATATAATATATATATATATATATCACACTAAAACAACTTTAACTTACTCCAAATTTGCTAGCAACCCTGAACAAAGTGACTAGCAAATTTAACTAAAAACTCCTAACTACAGAAGAAAAACTAGCTTTTTCTTTTTTATCTCGAAATAAGTTACATTTTGTTCACGTGAAAATGAAGTCATGAATCCAAGTTCACATGAGATAAAATCAATTGAGAACAGTATATTTTGTCAAATACAGAACAGAAGAAAAAAGACTGATAAAATGGAATTTCAAGAATCAAAAAAATAAAATAAAAATCATATACAAAGAGAACTAAAATATAACGAGTTTAACTACTTCTATACGCTAATAAATTTTATAATAATATCAGCATACTTCAATCCAAAATTTAATCTTGACTCGTTGTTTTAAAATTATGTATTCAAAATTTAGCACTTGTTGAAGCTTAATGAGTTTTTACATATATATTCCTCACTGATAGTATTAATGTAATTTAACAAGTTGTAACAATTGAATGCCTTAGTTTTCATATAATATTAAAAGTAGCCACACAAAAACAAAACAAAACAAAAAAACCAAGGAAAGGGAGGAGTCAAGAAATTACCATCTGGTTTACAATGAGGTGGATCTTCAAAAAGTGAAAGAGAAAGTTGTTTATGAGCCAAGCCAATATCAAGAATTATAAGACCAGAATTTGGATCATCAACACTAATTCCTTTAACTGGTAACCACACAAAAAGCTCTTCTTGTGAAAGGCCATGAACTCCAGTAAGGCAACCATAAGTTAAATTAGCTTTAACATAACTTTCATAAAAGACCATAGTATCAAATTTTGTCAAACAAGGGCCATTTAAGAAAACTTCAAGAAGGCCATTTGATGAAAAATTGTAAGATTTTACTTCTTTTGGGAGTAGACCAGCTGGTAAGCCTTTGGATTTGAGGAGATCATGAATTGACATGGGTTGAGAAAGTGGGAAAGAGAAGAAGAAGAAGAAGAGTAAAAGAAATGGAAACTGATAATATTGAAGGAAAGCCATGAATGAAGGAAATTATGAGAGAGGAATTTTTGGTTTTGGTATCCTTTATTAGTTGGAGTGGGAAGGAGGGGTTTAAGGAAATGAGGAGGGAGTTTTGGGATATAGAAAGACTTTTATTTTAAAAATTAATGATGAGGGTTTCGCTTGGATCAACGCTAAAATTATTTCCGTGTGATCTATAGGTCACGTGTTCGAGTTGTGGAATCAGTCACTAAAGCTTCGTACAACGGACTGACCTTTTTTTTTTTCTTGTCATGCTCAAATTATACGCACCTTGATTAGTTTTGGTTTTCTATTATATTTAATCAATATAACGGTATAAGTATTGAGTCGAGTTTTAAACTTGACATTAAATTTATAGTTCATTTTAGGTATGAGGTTCATAATTAAATATTAATTAAATATTTATACATGTTCGATAATTTTTTTTATTATAAATATAAAATAAGTAAAAATTATTGAATTGATACGAACCTCCGCTCCTGAATTGGTTACCAAAGGGATAGGAAGAAAGTCTGTTTAACAAGAGAGATGAATAGGCAATTTAAATTTAGTTTAGTAAGGTGGCCTTTAGTGGTAGAGACAAAGGACATATGATTGATTTGACTTCATTTTTCTGTCTTTACTAATATTTCTTTCATTGTGTGTTTTTTAATTTCTACTACTAATATATCTTCTTTTGCATAATACAATTTCGTTTTGTACCTTTGATCTTACTTTTAAATACAGTAATATTTATTATAGTTTTAATTTTTAAAGTTTATTTAACCGTTCAAATTATAAATTTAATAGTATCATTTTTTTATTAAATTATCTTTTAGGTATTACCATAGTACTTATTTATTACTATCGCTATTAATATTTTAAATTTCAAGATCGATTATTCATTGTCATATAAAGTGAGAAATATGAATTATTATTTTGTATTGTCACATCCATAGCAGAGTTTTTTAGAAAAAAATATAAATTTCTGTAAAAGTTGGGATGGTCGAATAATTACTTTGTATTCGACCAATTATTATTTGATCATGCTTTGTGTTAGTTCATTATTATAAAATATAAGTGTCACGCCTCCTTTTTCGCGAGGGATATGGGATATGGAGTTTTTTCAATTTAAGTGATATTATTCAAAATGAGATTCTTTATTTATTCAGAGTCGTCACTTGGAATAATTTATGGTGTCCCAAGTTACCGATTTGTTTTAGATTCCCAAATCGAGGAAAACTGGCTCTTATTTATGGTTTGCGAACACAGAAGACCGGGTAAGGAATTCTGTTAATCCGAGAGAAGGTGTGAGGCACTCCCGAGTTCCGTGATTTTAGCACGGTCACTCAACTATTAATAATTGACCTAGTTATCTGATTTAATACATGTTTTAAACCTATATGTGCATTTTTATTCCCTTTACCCCCTTTATTACATTACTGCATTTTAAAATTTTTTATGAAATTAATATGAGACGAGTTACGTTGTCATACACTCGTTGTTTATACACATCGCAAATCGCGTCACGTGAAACGCACCCGCAATCTACAACATGTTTAATTTTATTTATTATTATTTGAAGTTGTGGTCGAGTCACGTGAAACGCACACTCGAATTGGGGATTACGTATCGTGACCATGCCACGGAAACCGTACCCACAGTCACGATGATTTAGTATTAATCGCGCCTAAATCAAGCTACGATGTTCGAATATTATTCAATTACTAATTTTGAGATTATTGTAATGTCATGAGGTGTGGAATTATTTGTGGAAAAATTAGATTTATTATTTATGAAAAAGTAGGCTAGTTTAGAGAAAGATGAGCTAGCTATGTTATTTATTACTTTGGGCCCAATGAGACTAAATCTTTTGGCCCAAAATCTTTTCTTCTCCAACAGCCAAAAAAAAAAAAATTCTTAGAAACAAATCGTGGCCCAATCAAATTATCCAACACATTATCCCATATTCCGTACATTTTTTAAATAAAACTAATGACACCACAATCTCATGAAACAAGCCAAATTACAATGATTCAATAGACCCTTTATCCGGTTAAATCAACTCAAAAATAAAACTTTGCAACTCTATAATTAACATCATGGTTCAATAAACATATGAACAAGGAAACAACCAGATCCAAATATCAATAGAGTGAACTACTACTTCATGCTACCCAATAATCACACCAATAGTCAATAGACAAGAAGGTAAATGGACAATTATAATCAGTGAAGAAAGGAAAATAATGGACCTTTGATACAAATTAACAGAGATGAAATTACAAGAGTGCTAAACAATTCGACGAGTGTTGACTGGAGCTTTCACCGGCCACGAAACCTCGAACAACAAATCGCGACTTGCAACCTCGATCGACCTTGCAAGACCGGTGATTTAGTGGCTTATTTTTTGCTAGGTTTAAGGCTATTTTTTGAGGGGGTGATTTTGCTGGATTTTTTGAAAGAAAGACGAAGAAAGAATGATACGAGTAGAAATTTCCTTATCCTAGAAGAAGAAAATAAATTTCTCTCAATTCCTTCTTCCCTATTTTTTCCCCCTCTTTCTCTCCTCTTTTCCCCCTCACATTTCTCTTCTATTTATAGAAAACGTTTTCGGATTTTTCAGTTTTTTTATTTTATTTTATTTTTTATTTTTAATTAAAAAGAATTTCCACTTCCCATTTTACTTATTTTTTAAAAAAATAATTCCCTATTTTTATTTACTTTTATTTTTTAATTTCTTACTTTTTTTTTTTACTTTTATTATATATAAATTTCCACTTTTATACTTTTCTTTTTTTATTTCCCACTTATTTTACTTTTTTTTTTATTTCCCACTTATTTTTTATTTTTTAAAAAAAATTTCAGCTACTCTTACTTTTATTTTTTAATTCCAACTTTCCTTTACTTTTCATTTTTTTTGAATTTCCTCATTCTTTCACTTTCTTTTACTTTTTTATTAAACAATTTCCACCTACTTTTACTTTTACTTTTTAATTTTATATTTCTACTTTTCCTATTTTTTAATTTCCATCCGAAATTTGTTTTAAGAAAAATAAAATAATAATAATAATAATTAATTTTCGGGTTTTAATTCATTTTATTTAAAAATAAAGATAAAAATAATAATAAAAATAATACTAATAGTAATAATTGATCATTTAAATTATTATTAAATTTTACCATATATATATATAAGTGTAACAAAGCTAAAAAATATATATTAAATTTCTGAAAATATTTACATAGTAGAAGGTGATAAAAATTCAAATATAGTAAAAAATTAGGTGCTATACAAATAGTCAATAATAATGTTATTTTGGGAAAGTGATAACAACAAAGAGAGTAACTATACGGGGATACCTAATCTAATTTGAATATGGTTTGCTATAGGTCACCAGTTACCTAGAGCAATATCAGTTTCGGATTAAAGCTATTTTGGATCAAATTTGATACAGAAAAAAATGAGGGTAAAATTGAGCTACATACAGAATTTTTATTTTAAATTGAATTTGCCTTTTAATAATCATGTTTTAATGTACTTAGATAGAGATTAAAAAGGCAGCCCAAGAAATAAGGCATCCCGCGTTCACGCAGGGGCGGAAAAAATAGCCACACTCAACGAGTGTTGTAGACTGCTACCCTAATGGAAGCATTGGTGGCTGGTTTTATGGCTCGAATCCGCGATCTATAAGTCACAAAGATAACTTTATCATTTCTCAAGACTCACCTTCATTACTTAGTTAGAGATAGCGAGAAGTTAGAGATAGTGAGATATAATTCATACTTTCATAGGGGTTGTAAGAATAAAATTTTCATAGTATAGGATGTGTAGATGGTTAATTTTAAAACACAATGGATGTATCCAAAATTGACTCAAATATAGCGGGTTTTAGTGTAAATAGCCCTTAAATTATTTAGAAGGCATAGCTGAAATGCGATTTAAAAGTCGCGTTTCAACGATCATAAGTCGCTTTCCGCAATTACGATTATTTGAACTAGAAATAGAGTCGCTAATTCGGCTCTCTTTGACGGAGAAAGACGTGAGCTTGCTTCTTTCCTTCTCTTTCTCCGGCGAACCAATCGCCGTCCATTCCTTTCTCCGGCGAAATCCAGTTGGTAAGCTCATCTTTTTCACTTGATTACTCTCTTTTCGCTTTTGGTAAAAACAAATTGTGAACCTTGTTTTTTCACTTCTTTTTGTTAACTCTCCGGCATAAACAAAGCATCAAATCCAATTTGTATTATTAGCTTGTGAATCTTACAGTTAACATGTATATTATTTGAATGTTAATCGATTTTTAATAGATGGAATATTCATAATTATATTTATCATTCAAGTTGAAACAGTGCAAATTTTGGCAAAGCTGGAAGCTTTGAACTGCCCCAGGTCATAAAATTAAATTATTATTAGCATGGCACTAGGAATTGATTTGGGGGGGGGG